TATCTCCTTGAGAACGTATGTCTCGCTGGGGACAATGCTCCAGAAGGGAGAAGGTGTGAAGTATTTTCAGGCAACATTCCCCTCAGAGGATCTAGAAAGGAACCTAGGGCTCCCACTTACTGTCACTTTAAATCATGGATCTTAAGATTTTATATCACAAATTCCTGTGTTTATTATTATGTGTCATTGAGTCAGAACTAATTCATAGTTGACCCTCAGTCAAGTTTTTGGAGGCTGTAAATCACACAGGAAGAGATTGCCTATCCCATGGAGCAACTAGTGAATTCAAACCTCTTCCTTTGGATTGGCACCTCAACTCTTTATCCAGTAGGCCACTAGTGCTCCCTAATTAATGTATACAACACAATACCTATTATACAATTTTCTAAATCTACAATGTTAAATGAATAGTTGTCAAGTTTCCAACAATTTTATATCTAATCCCTAAATTTGGCAGGGGGTGGGGGGGAAGCCCCACTCATACCCTTTTAATTCAATCATCTCTTCATTCTTACCTTCTCAAATAAGTGGAATAGTACAAGAGATTTAACACATTAAATATCAAACATTGAATACCAGAAGAGTTATAAAATGACATTGTCAGTGTTGTTGTGTACAATCAAGTTGGCACCAACTCAATAGCTGAGCCTCCTGCAGATTTTCAGAGGCAGTTAATCGCATGAGAGAAAATTGCCCATCCTCTTCCCTTGGAGAGGCTGGTAGATGGAGAAAAGATTGAGACTGTCAACAACTTCATCTTACTTGGGTCCACAATCAACACCCTTGGTAACAGCAGTTAGGAGATTAGAAATATTGCACTGAGAATGTCTGCAGTTAGGGACCTCTCCAAATTATTGAGGAGTAATGATGTCAGTTTGAGGACTAAGGTTTGTCTGATTCAGTCTATGGTCTTTCCAATCTCTTGCTATGCATCTGAGAGCTAGACAGTGAATAGGATGACAGAAGAAGAATTGATGCCTTTGAGGTCTGGTGTTGGAGAAGAGTACTGAACATCCCATGGATTGCCAAAAGAACAAACAAAATGTCTAGGAAATAGTGCAGCCAGAGTGCTCTTTGGAGGCAAAAAGATAAGGCTTTTCTTCACATACTTGAAGCACATACTTTGGGCATGTTGCTAGGAAGAGCTATTCTTGAAGAGGACATGATGCTCAGAAGGGCAGAGAGCGAAAGACCCTCAACCACGTGGATTGACACTGTGACTGCTGCAGTAGGTTCCAGTGTGACAGGAAGTGTGATAATGGAACAGGATAGGAAAGGGTTCCTATTTGCTGTTCATAGGGTTGCTATGGGTCTTACTAGACTCAACGGCACCTAACAACAGTAACGACACCATAATCATGCATCAACAGAGAACTGTCAGAAATTCAGGCTGGATTTAGAAATCACAGCACAAGAGATATCAGTTTTGTTGTCAGATAGATTTTGGCTGAAGGTGGGGAATACCAGAAGCATGCCTAGCTGTGTTTTATTGTCTACCCAAAGGCTTTTGCCTATGTGGATATAATAAATTATGACTAATATTGAGAGGCATGAGAATCCCAGTACATTTAATAATTTTCATGCAAAGGTATAGTTAGATCATGAAGCTATTATATGAAAAGAACAAAGGAATATGACATGGTTTAAAATCAGGAAAAGTGTGCTTCAAGGCAGTATCCTTTCTTCATAAATATTCCATCTTTATGCAGAACAAACAATTAGGCAAGTGGGATGGTATGACTACTAATGTGGCACCAGAGGAAAAGCCATCAATAACCTGTGTCACACAGATGACACAATCTTGCTTGCTGAAAATGAGGCTTGTTGCAAGAGAATCAAAGACTACAGCCTTCAGTATGAGTACATCTCAACATCAAGAAATTAAAATCCTCACCACCAGACCAGTTAGTAACATCATGATAGATGAGGAAGAGATAGAAATTATCAATTATTTTTTTATTGCTTGCATCCACAATCTACGTTGTTGGCACCAGCAGCCAGGAAATCAAAAGATGTACTTCAATATACTTCAAAGTCTTCTCTGAAGCACCTTTCTAAAGTACTGAAAAGTAATGCTGTTCATTTGTACCTCATCCAAACCATAGTTTTTCTCAATTATTTGTTATGCAGCTGAAAGCTAGACAATTAATAAAGATAACTGAAGAACGAATCAAGGCTTTTGAGTTACGTGTTAGAGAAGAGTGCTGACTATCCCATGGACTGCCAAAAGGACAAATAAATATGCCTCAGAATAGGTGCTGTCAGGGTGCTTATTGAAGGCAAAGATAGTGAAGCTTCATGTCACACACTTTGGGCATGTTGTTAGGATGGTCCAGTCCTTGGACAAAGAAATCATGCTTTGAAAGATGGAGAGATACTAAAAGAGAGGAAGACCCTCGACAAGACGAATGGACACAGTGACTTTAATGGCGGGCTGAAGTCTATCAGAATTGGTCAGGATGGCACAGGATAGGGCAGGGTTCAGGTTCATTGTTCATAGTGTCACGTGGAGTCATCTTCCTGTTATTATTCTGTGCTGTCAAGTCAGAACTGATCCATAGCTGACCTTCTAACAGGTTTTCAGAGGCTGTAAATTGCCTAAGAGGAGATTTCCCATCCCATGGAGCAGCTAGTGGATTTGAACTAGGTGCCTTCGGGATTGCAGCACAGCTTCTTACCACTAGGCCATGAGGCCTATGACTGTTGATAGGTCATCACGAAGTAGTAGGGCTTCTAGTCCGGGTTTCTTTACTCCATAAATAGCTCACCATATAAATTTAGACAAACTGTTTACCTTCTCTTATCCTTGGCATTCTTGTCTGTCAGATGAAAGGTAGAGATTCAGCGATCAAAGTTCTTGGACTAGCATGTAAGGGTAGATTACTGTGTATGTGAGTATATCACCATGAGTCAAATATGAGTTATAATCCACCCAAGAGACTTAACAATGACATCAACATTCATACAAAAGCTTTACAGTAAATAAGGAAGAAAAAAAGAATGAATGCCTTCGAACTATGCAGTTTGTGAAGAATATTGAATATATTCTAGATTGCCAGAAAATGAACACACTTTTCTGGAGAGTTTTTTTTTTTCCCCTCTAGAATTTTTCTAGAGAATGGTCCTTGGATCATGAGACTTCATTTCATTCCCTTTGAACACATTTCAGGGGGAATTAGTCCCCAGAGAAGAGACATCACACTTGGTAGAGGTATTGACAAAGAGGAAGGCCCTCAATGAAATAGACCAGCACAGAGTGCTGAAACACAGCAATGACTTAAGAACAGCACAGGCTGTTAGCAGCTTATAGGCTTGCTAGTATTTGGAACTGTTTAATAAGCATCTAATAACATGAAGCTCAAATTACTATACAAAGTTGCTGTTGTTAAGTGCCATCAAGTCATAGACGACTCATAGTGACCCTATGAACAAAAGACCTGAACCCTTGTATAACTTTCATCTTTTCTCCACGTTCATATAAAAAGTAAAAAAATAAAAATAAAATCACTATCCAAACTAAAAATTAAGACATTAACTCCTAAGAAAATTAAATAACTGCTCCAAAATCACATAAACAATATTTAACATATCAAATTATCTCCTTTTCCTGGATCCCATTTTATTTAACGAATCAATTTTTTTTCCTAAAGTAATATCATATAATTGTATGAACGCTGCCTTCCAATCATAGAAATGGTGTCTTGAATTGTTCTCTTGACCACCAATCTGGAATCTTACCTAGAAGTGTGTTCCTGATTGGTTAAAGTACTCTGTAAGAGTAGAATGCCAAGGAGTAAACCAAACAAAAGCCATAGCAACAACTGAGTTTGCTGTCTCACTAGACCAACTGGTTAGCTAGACCAAGTGGGCTCCTTCATCCCAGGTAAGGTGGCCTCTCATGGCTCTGATTAGTCCTTCAGTTATGAGCCATCTGATAGCAGAGCAAGCCAATGTAGATGGGAAGAAAAAACTCAACTGAACAAAATGAAGTATATTTCCAGGTAAAATAGACAAGTGCTGTAACTTGGAATTAATTCATCTGATGAGTTTCATTACAGGCAACAAGAAGATATTGATGCAAAAGGATCATCCCTACAGGTAGTGTCACCCACGACACACACAAGTGGCAACTGTTAAGGGTGACATTACCCAATGCAGCATGTGTGCTCAGTCAGAGAGGACTTGGAAACAAATCTCAGCGCTAATCTCATGCTATAGAAACAGACACAGAGGAAGGCCATATATATCTCTAAGGTTTGCTGCTGTTGTGTGTCATCAAGTAGCTGACCCTCCACTGGGTTTTCAGAGACAGTTAATCTCACAGGAGAAAATTGCTCATCCTTCTCCCGCAGATCAACTGGCTGCCTCAAATGCCTTTGGGATTGTAATGCAGCTTCTTACCACTAGGCCACCAGAGCTCCTGTCTCTTAGGTATGTTGTTATTGTTGTTATGAGCCATCCACTCGCCTGCAACTCATTGCGACCCTATGTACAACAGCCCTTGTCTCCAAAGAGCAGCCTGGTCTCACCCTCTCTAGGACAAACCTGTTTGTTCTCTTAGCAGTCCATAATATATTCCATACTCTTCTCCAGCACCACAGCTCAAAGGCATCAATTCCCTGCCATGCCTAGTCATTGTCCAGCTTTTTGATGCATAGCAAGTAACGGCAAAGACTGTGGCCTGGTTCAGGCGCACCTTAGTATGCAGACTGATTTCTGACAGCAGACTTTCCCAATGCAATTTGTCTTTTCATTTCCTGGCTGCTGGTACCAAGAGTGTTGTTTGGAAAGCCACACAAACTGAAGCTGTTAACTATTTCAATAGATACAGGAAATACTATTTGGAACCAAAACTAGCTCAAGGTCTTAACCTTAGTAGAAGCTGGGGAGTATGCTTTTTATAATGAATGCCAAGTTTGATTGGAGTTATTCTTTGCACTTTTCTGGAGGAAGATATTTCTAACAATCTTATGTTTTATTCTTGTTGACAGGCTACACATTGTGGAGACAGGATGAAGTTGACAAGTGAAAAGTTGCCCATGAACCCCATTTATTCATCACTTATAGCCCAGTATGTGGCTAAGAGCCCAAAACTTTTGTGGAGAAAGGAAAACACCGGTACTTTACTCTGCCTTTGGAAAATATTTTCACTAGAATATAATTATATATATTAGAGCAAATAGGAATACAAAAATGGGAATTTAGTGAGATGATGTAAATAAAGTTGGACTTAGAAGATTAGTAAGAAGAAATTCTGGGTTGAGGACATAGTGTGAGTAAAAAAGACATGGAAACAAGATAAAGTTTAATAAGATAAATAGGCAACTGTTGTTAAAAGCAGTGATTAATTTTTTTATCAGTTTCAGCTTTCCCCTCATAGTATCTATGACATTACATAGATAAGAGAGGACCCTCTTATCTGTAGAGAGACCTCAAAGTTAAATCCTGACCGTGATTTTAGGTTTAGCACCTAAGGAAAGAAAATCCAAGTGTCTTTGTATTAAAGATAACAATGCCATGTCTACTTTTCCCGTGTGTTCTTATTGAGTGCCATTGAGTCAGAACCAACCCATAGTTGACCATCCAGCGGGTTTTCAGTTGTTGTTGTTGTTATGTACCGTCGAGTCGCTTGTAACTCTTAGCGACCCTAGGTACAACAGCCCTAAACTCTGCTCTGTCCTGTGCCAATCACACTGTCTCTGACACTCCCATCCCGATTACCCCAGTCACTGAATCAATCCACCTCATAGAGGGTCTTCCCTCCTGAGCTGTCCCTCCACCCTACCAAGCATGATGTCCCTCTCTAAGGACCGGTCTCTCCTTACAACATGTCCAAAGTTAGACGGAGTCTCAGAATCCTTTCCTCCAAGGAGCTGCCCGGTTTAACCCTTTCCAGGATGAATCTGTTTGTTTTCCTAGCAGTCCATGGTACCCTCAATACTCTTCTTCAGCACCATAGCTCAAAGACATCAATTCTCCGTCTATCCTCCCTAGTCATTGTCCAACTCTCTGATGCATAACAAGTGATTGCAAAGACCATGGCCTGTATCAGATGCACCTTAGTCTCCAAAGAGACACCACTGCTCTTCAGTACTTTGGAGAGGTCCCTAACAGCAGACTTTGCTATGGAAATACGTCTTTTAATTTCCTGGCTACTGGTGCCAAGGGTGTTGACTGTGGAGCCATCCAAACTAAAGCTGTGAACAATCTCAAGGGTTTTCAGAGGTAGTTCAATTGATCAAATGGTTTAAAGACCATGGCCTGGATCAGGCACACCTTATTCTCTAGACAAACATTGTTGCCCTTCAGCACTCTGGAGATATCCCTGACCACGCATTTTAATAATGCAATTCATCTTTGTTATTTTCTGATTGCTGGTGCCAAGAGTGTTGATTGTGGACCCGAGCAAGCTAAAATTGTTAACTATTTCAAACTCTCCTCCACCTAATATAGTACTGCCAATTGGCCCAGTAGTGTGACTCTGTTTTCTTGATTTTGAGCTTCAATCCATATTGAAGACTACACAGTACTTCAGGCCCTCTTCAGTTTTAGCAATCAAGGCTATGTCATCTGTATAACACAGGTTGTTGATGAGTGTTCCTCCAATCCTCATGCCACATTCCTCCTCATAAAGTGCAGCCTCCCTGATGATCTGTTCTGCATACAGATTGAAAAGTTAGGAGACAGGACACATCTCTGATGCACTCGTTTCCTGATTTTGAACCACACAGTGTTTCCCTGCTTGGTACTGACTTCCGTTTCCTGGTCCAAATACAAGTTTCTCATAAGCACAATCAGGTGTTCTGGGATTCCCATTCTTCTCAGACACTGTTTGATGTGATCCATACAGTCAAGTGTCTTTGCAGAGTCAATGAACCACAGATAGAAATTTCTCTGGCCCTCTCTGTGTTTGGCGAAGACCATCTGACATTGGCTGTGATGTCCCAGTGCCATGGCCTCGTCTAAACCCCACTTGTATTTCTGGTTGTTCTATGTCAGTGTACTGTTACAGTCATTTTTGGATGATCTTCAGGATTTTGCTTGTATGTGATATTGTTCAATAATTTCCACCCCTGTCAGATTACGTTTTTTAGGAATGGGAATAAAAATTAATTTCTTCCAGTCATTTGGCCAGGTGGTTGTCCTCCACATTTCTTGGCACAACCTGGTGAGCATGCCCAGGGCAGCATCTGTTTTTGGAAATATATCAGTTGGTATTTCATCCATTCCTGGGGTCTTGTTTTTTGCCAATTCTCTCAGAGAAGTTTGAACTTCCTTCTAATCATCACCATTGTCTCTTGAATATAAATTATTTCATGAAATTTTTCTGTGTCAGCCAATTCTTTTTTGGTATAGTGACTCTGTGTACTCCTTCTATCTTCCTCTGATGCTTTCTAGATCATTCAATATTCTGCCCATATTTGTTCTTCAGTTTCTTCAGTTTTAAAAATGCCCAGTGAGTTTGACTCTTTTGCTTTTCCAACTCCAGCTCTTTGTACGTTTCATTATAATACTTTGCTTTGTCTTCTTGCACTGCCTTTTGAAATCTTCTGTAGGGAGCACAAAATATTTAATTAGTAAAAAAAAATATTTAATTAGTGTTAAACAGAAGGCAGAGAAAACTTCACATGTGACAACTAAGGCTCTACTGGGGAATTGTCACAGACTGTCTTCCTAAACACAATTTTAAGGAGACAAAAATTTTTATTTAGTGAATTGCTATAACATTTCATACCATATCGAAGGACAATCAAGACAAATGCTAAAGTGTTAAATTACAATATTAAGTTACCAATGAAAATCACAAAAAACATATACAAAAACAGTTTAATACTTATGAACTCTTTCTTCGAGAGGGAAGCTGGCCAGTCAGGGTTTGTTTGGGGTTTTGGGGTGGTATTTTTTTTAGGAATTGTTTTTAATTTTCACTTCAATTTTCAAGTTGCCTAAGCCATCCAATCAGAAACTTACTTCCTACAGCTAGGAAAACAGGTACTTAGGCTTTGCATCCTACAAATTGCAAACTGACTGGTTAGTAACCGTAAAGCTTTTTGCATGTCGGCTGCAGCATTTCATTGGAGATGGTCACCACTGCAGGAAGTTTTGGGGTGTGGTCTGCAGGGAGTGCTGCCTCTCCAACTGTTCTAATCCATCACTAGCTCCACTGGAGAATGATGGGCAATCTCTTCCCCTGTGATGTGCGGCCCGGAAAATCTGCTGGAAGGTCAACTATGAGTCGCTTCTGAATCAACAGGAAAGAGTTTGTGGTTTTTACCTCATTTGGAGGTAGTTCTAATGAAATCTTATTGTTCAGGTTCCTGCCTGACAGTGAATATGGTTACTTGGAAAATGAATTGGCAAACATTTCTTGACTGTACAAGGCAAGGTGATAGGAACTGTGAAGAATCTAAAACATAAGAAGTTACTCATATTCTCAAGAGATTTACATTTTAATTTGAGGAAAGAATAATATGTATTCATGGTGACACCTAATAGCACAAGGATCATATGGGAAGTGCAGATAATATGTGTTCTGGGAAGGGGGAAGAGAGAGAACACTGTAATTTAATGAGATGGTTTAAATTAGGTTGGATTTTGAAGATTAGTTGGAAGACATTCTGGGTTTAGGATGTAATGTGAGCAAAAAAAAAAAGACATGGAGACAAGATAAATTCAGAAAAGACAAAAGGTAAATGCACTTGAAGTAA